AGTTCAGCTACGAAGAAATGGTATCTGTCCAAGTTTGAGAACTTTCCAAGAGAGATCAAGACCTTGATACCTTATATTTTCTAAAAGAGGTGGAGTGGGAATGAAAAATCTTAGTACTCAGATTGCTTTTTATATCAAGTGTGCTGTTATCAGATTGCTTTTTATAAGTACAGATTGAAAAGAAATCTGTGTATTATGTGGGTTTTAATCTATTCATTTGATATGAGATTATTTTTTGCAGTATAGTTTGTATCTGATAGCTAAAATTGAACCAGATAACTCAGTACATCACTGATATAGCCATGTGCAATTCACTTGAGTTGCACCCACCAGGGACCATGAGGAGGATTTGGATCCTCTCCACTACAAAAAAGTAATAGAGAGGCCACTACTTTCGTTTTAGTCTGTTGATTTTATTTCAATGGTTGAGATGAAATTAATCTTTCTTAACTATAATTATGTGAATCAATTAGCCTAACATATCTCCTATTTTTACTCCTATCTAATCTTCTTTCCCAATCTTCTATATCCCGTCCTTCTCTATTTATTTTTCAGATTTTTTTCGGTCTTTTTTTTTTCTTTTTCCTTTTTTTTTCTCCGCTCCCTTTTTTTTCTTTTCCTTTTTTTTTCTCTATCGAATATTCTTTCCTCTGTTTTTTCTCCTACTACTCCCCCCTCCTATCATCTAGTTCCTCTTTGCTCGTTTTGGTGGAGCTCGAGCACATCTCGTACGTCCAATCACTAAGAATATTTCTAAAGGTAAATTCAATATTGTATTTCTCTTTTCTAAATTATGCAATTATTTTTATTTTATATGATTTTCAATGAAACTCTAATATTAATTAATTAATTTTAAAGTCTATTTTTTCATGTATTATTAGTATAGAATTTAATATTTTAATATATTTATATATTATTATATGATCATAACTACTGCATATTTTGATGTATTATCACCATGATCATAACTAAGGCATTGATATATTATTGTATATCGTAGTGGTAAGGATTAGTGGCCATCAATGTTATAAGCGAAAAATCCCCAATTTAAATATGACTAATGGAAAGAAGTGGAGTGAATCATGCCGAGTCATTTCGCTTTTTTTAATTATGCAATTATTTTTTATTTTAGATGAATTTTTTTTTGGAACTTTGATATTAATTGATTGATATTTATTTGTCAGAGTGAGCTTGTTCACTATGAAGAATCAATCGCCAATTCAAGTAGTCAAGGGGAATGCATACGATCCGATCACAATTAATGAAATATAGAAGAATCACAAGGTTTCAAGGTGGAATTAGCGGATGTTTCTGAACTTACGTACTTCAAAACAAATTTATGAGCTATCTAGTAGGAATGATGGAGGTAAAGATCATCTTGATTATACCCGGTTGGATCAGAGAAATTATCTTCGAACAAAAATACAAAGAGACTTCAAATATGGGGAATTAGGTAGCTTGCTGGCTTACTTTCAACAGCAGATAGTAGAAAATCCACCATTCTTCCATTTCTGTGCAATTGGACAATGAAGAAATGATAACAAATATATATCTTTTGGGCTGATACAAGAATGATTCTTGATTACTCTTATTTTGGTGATATTATTACATTTGACACCACATATATTACTAATAAAGATTTTAGACCACTTGGTGTGTTTGTTGGTCTAAACCATCACAGGAAGGTTGTTATTTTTGGAGCAACATTGTTGTATGATGAGACGACCGACTCATTCCGATGGCTATTTAGGATATTTTTAGAGGCATACCAACAGAAGAAGTCAATTATTCACTGATCAAGATGCGGCAATGGCGAGGGCTTTAAAAGATGTGATGCCAGAAACATATTATGGTTTATGTGTGTGACATATTATGCAAAATGGCATTAAGCATTTGGGAAATTCATTCAAGGAAGGTAGTGGGCTTTTCGATAACTTCAAAAGTTGTATGTTTGACTAAATTGAGGAGACTGAATTTGAGGAAGCATGGAAGGATATGCTTATAAAATATGAGATTAAAGAGCCATCCTAGTTGCATGATATATACAAATTAAAGGAGAAATGGTCTCACGCTTATATGAAGAGGATCTTCACTTTAGTCATGAGAAGTACACAACTTAGTGGGAGTATAAATGTAGATTTAAAAGATCATTTGAAATCTGATTTGAACATTTTGGCCTTCTTCAAGCACTTTGAAAGAGTAGTAAATGATAAAAGATACAACGAGTTAGAGGCTGAGTATCATTCGAGGCAGAAATTGCCTAACTAGAGATTAAAAAAATGCCCAGTGTTGCGTCAAGCATCAGAACTCTATACTCTTAAAGATTTTTAAGATGTTCGTTGAAGAGTTTGATGAGTCTCAATGAGCATCTATAAAAAATCGTTGTGAGTCAACATGCACTCGTTGGTATGTGGTTTCTATTCCAGATGAAGGTGCACATAAAATAATGGTTAACCTTTCAGAGCATATATTTTTGTGTCAATGCCAAAAGTTTGAGACTTTGGGTGTCTTATGCAGTCATATATTAAAAATAACCAATTTATTGGATATTCATTGCATTCCAGACAAATATATCTTAAGTCGATGGACAAGACATGCAATAAAAGAATTTATTCATAACAATAGCAGAGAAGTTATATCTGAGGATCCTAAATTAGCAGTGACAAATCGATATAGAATTCTTTGTGCTACTCTTGTCAAGATTGCTTCTCGAGCTGCAGAAAGTGAGAAAACATTCAAAATGATGTATAAGACGGCGAAGGAAATGAGTAAAAATATAGAAGATATTTTGCATAATGATACCCCCTATAGCTAAAGAAGGCACAAGCATAAATTACATCTTTAATCCCAGTGATAGATTGAATGTGAATGGTTCGAATCCTATATTGACATCAAATCTCATCAAAGCAAAAGGTCTTAAGAAGAGAAAGTGAGGTAGAAGAGGTCGAAGACCAATAGGTTGGGTTGAGGGGCAATTAAAAAGAAAGAAAAATACTATCGTTAATGTGAACGATGAAACACAACATATGCATAAGGTAATATTTGATTTTCACTTATCTATTGTTTCCATAAACAAATATAGTTATTACTTGTTGCTTTTTGGTAGGGTATTAACTTAAATTATTTTTTGTAAGGATGATGAAGTTCATGTATAGAGTCTGCACAATTCTACTCCACAATCATCGTATATTCTACACAAGGTGATATTTTTTTAGCTTTTATATTTTAAAAAAAATCACTTATTTAATTAAGAAATTAGTCCTATATCCTCTTACCTTGATAATAGGGAGTTGAGATTCCATAGGAATTCGCACGGATGAGCTATGTCCAAAACAATGATCACCCCAGCTTCACTGAAATGTTGACGGTATATTTTAAATAGTTATAATAATGAAATTTATATATTCATTAAGCATTTTCTAGTTATAATTACTGGTGTATACTTTAATAATGTGTTATAGGCCACCTCACGCACTTTAGGTTATAATATGACAAAAAGCATTATGTTTTGTAGATGGTTAACTCGAAGAGGTTAGTTCCAAAATTGAATAAATGATCGATTATTATTTTTAATCATGTATTAGTTACATGCTTATTCTATTTCAGGAGAGAAGCTATGAGAGTTTATTAATAAAAAATTTGAAAGATAAATGATGCAAGTTGTAAGTTTCTCCATTGAGAGTTTCTCAAATTTTTATTGATTATGTAGAAGACTTGTTAGTCGAGAGGTTGATTTTCAATGTTGATTCTTCTTTGTTGAACTATTTGTAATCATAATTGATATTAGAGTAATTCAATATTTCTGCTTTTGAATTTTAGTTTAAATGTATTGTTAAAACTAACATTTTTGCAGAATAAGACATATCTCATCGATGTTCATGCAATTGCTTAAAGTTAAAGAATTAAATATAAATTCAAAAAAAATATAATTTCATTATGCAATAATTACAAAAAATTTCATAACAAAATATGCTATGGATCAAATAAAATAAAGTAATATTTTAATTTAGAATATAGAGAAAAAATTTGTCATGAAGATAAATATTTTTCAAGTTAATTTTTTGAAATAAATCCAATAAATCTTTTTCCTAATGTAGAGTAATCGCAAATATTATGATATGAAAAATAATGTGAAAAATTGAAAGGAAAATTCTTTTGGTCGGAAAGTAAAAAACATAAAAAAAGAAAAATAATATTCGGCAGAGAAAAAAAGGAAAAAAAAAGGGAGCATAGAAAAAAAGGAAAAAAAGAAAGAAAAAAGACCGGAAAAAAAATCTGAAAAATAAATAGAGAAGGAGCGGATACAGAAGATTGGGAAAGTAGATTGGGTAGAAGTAAAAATAGGAGATTATGTTAGACTAATTGATTCGCATAATTATAATTAAGAAAGATTAATTTCATCTCAACCATTGAAATAAAATCAACGGACTAAAATGAAAGCAGTGGCCTCTCCACTACTTTTTTGTAGTGGAGAGGATCCAAATCCCCACGAGGATAGTTGGATGAGTTTGCTTCCTGTTCAATCGTCCTAGATTTTGGGGGTTTTCTTGCAATGATTGAACCCTCTTGATGGCGTGAGTGTTCGGACTCAGACTCCCCTTTGGTGAGAGTTCAGTCTCGGACTCTCTGTTCGGTGTAGGAGTTTCCTAACCAAGTCCCCCCTTCCCAAAAAAAATTACACGAAAATTGACATGTTTGGACATGTAAAATAAATACCCAAAAGGCCAAAAAACATATATACACGTATAAGCTAGAGGAACCTTACCAATTTGTAATGGATTCATAATATTACATGAACTAACACATGATTTTAGCAAAAAATAATTAATAGTTTAAGGGCTAAATGACACTTAAACGCCCTATTGTACCACCACCCTTGCGCTAAAATACCTTAAGCTTGTATTTAAAGTAATTTTCCGGTCGATAGTGTGGACCGTCTAGACGCATAGTAAGCCCCAGTTTGGCCCGTGTAAAGGCCTCTAATCCAAAATTACGACAAACACTGATCCTACAAAGAGCAGAGCAGCGAACTCGCGGTGCGAATAAGGTAAACGAATCTCCGCCTGCTGCATAATCCAATTTCTGATCACCTCCCGGTGAACTTCTCTCTTTCGGTAACACCTACAGTGGATCTGGTCACCGCCGGTGATCTTACGCTAGCTGTTCCTCGTCTCCCACCTTTTTTTCCCTTTGAAAAAAAATTAGGGTTTTCTTCAACCTTCTCTCTTCATCGACATCACCAGTTCGAGTCCATCGCCATACTTTCACACGGCGGTAAGCTTATCCTCCCTCTTTTATTATTTGATTTTTCGAACATTATACGAACTTTTTGGGGTTTTGAGTTCCAATTTAGGGTTTGGGGTTTATTTGAGAGAAAATGCTCTTTTTTTTGCTTCTACCATTAGCATTCTTGGGCTCCCTTTTGCTCAACTAGCGCAAATTTGATAAATTTGTTCCTATTTTAGCTCCAATTGGGGTTTATGATTATGATATGCCTGCTAATTTTGTACCACTGACTCAATTTTAGCTCCACTTCTAGCAGCGGGGTTTTCTGTTTATCAATATTTGCATCCTGCAATGAAAAAGATGGGAACTTTTATAGATTTCAAGCCATTTTAGCTCTGTATAGGCTTTTTGATGGTGGCACCTACTAACTGTAGCTCAATGTGGTGTTCAGGTTTCTTGGTTCCCTTCCTTCAAATGCAAGAGAAAACATCACATTTGAGCTTAATAGAACTGTTACTTCCTAAATAATGGCTTGTCAATGAACTTAACATAAATAGGCAATCTTATTTAGTTATAATTCTCAAATGCAATCCTATAAGTTGTTCATAATAGATTTAAGTGTTTGCGAGCTTCCTTTCTTCCTTCTGAAAGTAGCGAAATGGTTGCAGGTTTTACTCTCCACATTCATGGAGGCCAGTAGGAGCGAAGGCGATGACTTGATAGTGGACTATGTGGAATGCCTCATGTCATTACCTACCAATGCCCGTTCAGTTGAAAACGAGAATTCGGTCCTCCAAGTATCAGTCCCTCCTGAAGAACCTTCCCGTATTCCTATAGGAATACCAACCCAACCTAAAGATTTAGTTCAAATCACCACGGAAGACTCTAAGCTTGAGCCATTCTTAGGTATGGAATTTGAGTCTGACGAGGCTGCAAAAACATTCTATAATGACTACGCTCGTCGTTTAGGGTTCCCGTTTCGTGTTGGAAGGTCTCGACGATCTAAAGGTGTTGATGAGGTTCTAATTATGAAGAGATTTGTATGCTCAAAAGAGGGAGTGTATCGTAAAAAGCCTTCTGAGGAGACCTCAAGAAAGCGTGAGAGGCTTTCCATGAGAGAAGGTTGCAAGGCAATGATGGAGGTTATTCGGGATTCTGATCGTTGGGTGGTAGCTAAGCTCGAGAAGAATCACAACCATCATCTTGGAACTTGTAGTAGAGTTGGTTACCTTCGAGCGAGAGGCTTCATTGATACTAATGAGAAGACTAGCATATTGTCGTCTGATGCTATGATACTACTTCGTCAAAATGCATTTGGTGAAGGAGGAGATGCTCAGAGCCTATTAGATTATTTCAAGAAGATGCAAACAGATAATCCCTCATTCTTTTATGCAATACAAGTTGATAATAACAGTTGTGTGACTAATGCATTGTGGGCAGATGCTAGGGCTAGAACAGCATATAGCTATTTTGGGGATGCAGTTACATTTGATACAACTTATAAGAAGAATAAGTATATGATGCCCTTTGTTACTTTCTCAGGAGTGAACCATCATTTGCAACCGGTTATCTTTGGATGTGCTTTGTTAATAGATGAGACTGAATTCTCATTCATTTGGCTTTTTGAAACATGGCTTTCAGCAATGGGAGGCCGACCCCCTATTTCTTTAGTTACTGACCAAAATAGAGCTATGACCGCAGCAATTGCAAAGGTATTTCCAAATACTTGCCATCGGTTTTGCAAGTGGCTCATTTTGAGTAGAAGCAAGCAAAAATTAGCCCATGTGTATTCCTCTCATCCTACTCTGAGAGCGGAGCTTGAAAGTTGTGTTATTGAGTCGGAAACAATTAGGGCATTTGAGACTTGTTGGGTTTCTATAATTGATAAGTACGACCTGAGGAAGAATACTTGGCTCCAAGCATTGTTTAACATCCGACAAAAATGGGTCCCAGTGTACTTAAAAGACACATTCTTTGCTGAAGTATCTCCAACCCAGAAGTTAGAGACAATGAATGACTTCTACAAGAAGAACTTTAGTACCAAGACTTCGCTTAAAGTATTCCTAGCACAGTTTGAAATATATATGGCAAGCCGATATGAGGATGAAGCCCAAGCAGACTTGGACACAATGTGTATTAAGCCAGTTCTGAAGACTGCATCACCGATAGAAAAGCAAACTGCAGCTATTTATACAAGAGCTGTGTTTGATAAGTTTCAGGAGGAATTTGTTGAATCTCTAGGTTATAATGCTTACAAAATAAAGGATGGGTTAGTTAGCAAGTTTAGCGTGGCGAGAGATGATGATTCTCTTGAAACATTCATTGTTACTTATAATTCTGGTAAAAAGACCGCAACTTGCAGTTGTAAGAATTTTGAGTTTTCAGGGATTTTGTGCAGGCACATTTTGGGTGTGTTTCTTATGGTTGATCTGCGGATGCTTCCGGAAGAGTACTTCTTGAGACGGTGGACAAAGAATGCCAAGAGTGGAACCCAAATTGACGAACAAAGTTCTGAGGTTCAGAATGGTTATCAACAATCCGTTACATCTCGGTACAATGATCTTTGCCAAGATGCCATTAAGTGTGCAGAGAGAGGAGCAACATCAGTTGAAATATACAAAGCTGCGAAAGATGCACTGCATAGGGCCTTCACTGAAATTGTTTCTGTTGAGAGAAATTCTGGTAGAGGAGCGCAGCGAGATGCAATCAACATTAATGAAGAAATTACATTAGATGAAGCAATGGGTGACCAATCATTACATGATCGGTCCTTACAAGATCCTGGACGAAAGGTTTGATATTTTCTTCCCTTATCTTTTACCTTGTTAAGGTTTCTTTGCAGATTGGTTGATTGTGAATTCCCCCCCGCCCCCCCCCCCCCCCCGCCCCCCCCCCCCCCCCCCAACCATGTTGATGGCCGTAGCTTTATTACACTTTTGCTGTAGTTTATCTTCGTAACTTAATTTGTTGAGTTTGGTATGTTCATTTTGACTTACTTTGTTGACTTTGCTATGTTCATTTTGAACCTAGATTCTTGATTTAGGTAGCTATTTTTACTTTATTCTTTAATTTTATATTTATAAGCTCACCTTCTAAGAGGGTTGATCTGAAATCTGCAAGAGACCAAACAAATTTTTTCCCTTTGATTTATGTACCATAGATAACTCGATCGTCACTGTAGAAGCATTATTTATTCTTATTTTATCTCATAGTTTTACAGAGTTCTTTTCATGAACCAAATAAGTTTCCTGCCTAATATTGTGTGGTAATAAGACTTTTGAGATCCTTTTTTCTTTTCTTTGTTGTTAATTGCGATGGATACCCGATATAGTTTGCTGGGTTTCTATGAACCAGTAGCATATACATGTCGCAACCAAAATAATAATCTATCAGTCTCTGGGAGATTTTATGGAACATTTATTTAGAGAACTGAAATATAATCTTTATGATGGTAACAGTATGCATTGGCCTTATATTTACCTACTTGAAAGTAACTTCTCTTCCACATATTAAGGGTGCTAAACAACCACTAACTATTTAATGCTTGAATCCTTTCCCCTTCAGTTCTTGAACTTCTTCAAAGTGCAGTATTGATTTTCTAATCTAACGCATTTGAATTAACGACTATATTCAAGTGGTGTTTCGATTAAGTGAAAAAAAAGCAATCATTTTGTTCATATGAAGTACTCAGTTGTTCTGATTTTTCTTTTATTTTATTCATGTTAGGCCACTCTAAGGCACCGATTGATGCTAGAATGATATTTATCACATCACAACTGAAATTTTCTAATTGCATTTGGTGACATAGTTTTGTTTATTTTCCAGCCAGTGAATAATTTACTCGGGCAGTTTTTGGGTACCTCCTGGTCACCTATGTGAGGCACTGTAAATAATTTACTTGGCAAAAGAGTTCGCATCTCTGAAGCTAAATACTTCGGCCCTGGTCAGTTTCTGGTGCATAGCTGCTCAGATCGAAGAAAATCTGATGGTGGTCGCCCTAAGATGATATCATTGCTAGAAGTATATTCATCGAAGCTTCATGTCTGTGAAATGATACGTATATTCCACACTGTTGCAGGTGTTTTCGTTGACACGGATATATTATTGTATATTGGTTAAGGTATCATAGGGTGAAGTAATTTCTGTTTCTTTTTTCTTTTTCGGAAATGGCTTCTTTGTTTGAAGTCGGGTTTTATTGTACATTTATTTATCTCAAAAGAGTATGAAGAGAAGGCTTCAGGAATTTGCATCCAAAGCCTCATTGAAGATGTAAATTTCTTCATTTGAGATTTTATACGTGATTACTATTTTGTTTCTTGAATTTTTCTAACTCAGGAAAAAGTTCTCCATGCTATGTTAATGTTTGAACCCACAAATCGAACTCTTTTTCTGGTTCAGAACAATCTTATGCTTAGATTGGTTAAGCTAGGGATGAAACAAGTTAGATTTTTTTTTTTTTTTTTGAAAAGTCTGGTAGGGTAACCTAACCAGCCAAGTCCTCAACAATACTCTGTCTCAAAAATAAAGGGATAGAAACAAACCAAAAATAAGAGGACAAACAGTCAATCGACTTAGCTAAGGAATGAGCAACATCATTACCAGTGCATTTTACATAAGAAACTTTAGAGCAGCCAGTAATAGTCAGATCAGCGCGAACTTCATCTGCAATAGGACCAAAGAAGCAAAAGGAGAAGGAGAGACCAAGGAGACAACATTTAGAGAGTCAATTTTCACCACTGAAGTCCTCCAGTTCATACGCCGAACAAAGCGTATGTCTTCCAGGACAGCCAACAGCTCCACATGATTCACAGACATAGGACCCCTGATCTCCATAGAGTAGCAACCAATCACATGTCCATGACGATCTCGAATAACACCTCCCAAACCAATAATATCTCCTTCCAGAGGAACAGTAGCATCTGTGTTGAGCTTCAGCAAACCAGGAGTAGGGGGATACCAAGTAGAAGGTCATTTGGAAGGAATGACAATGTCATGGGAGAGATATCTAACTCTATTTCCTTCTTCCACACAACAGAGAATCTGAGTCACCAAGACCGAGGTCTCTCTAACACCACCACCATGAGAGCACATATTCCTTTCCTCCCATATAAACCACATCAACATGGTTGTGAAAGCTAAAGCCAGATAGTCCTCAGGGCAAACAGAGGTAAGATAGAAAAGAAAATCACCACAAGACGTGCCTCGAAAACCATTAATCACTTCCCAAAGATCTAAGGACTTCCACACTAAACGAGCAAAGGAGCAGACGGTGAAGATATGAAGGGCGGTCTCAAAGGCAGCAGAGCAAAGGCGGCAACCAGGGGCACAGAGACCCCCCTGCGAAATAAACCAGTTGAGGTGGGGAGAGCATCATAGAACAGACGCCAAAGGAACACTCTAATCTTCGGTGGGATCTCCGCATGCCAGATCAAGGACCACCACTTCGCTACCCTAGAATCCGAGGTGGAAGCAGTATCAGGCATAGTGTAGCGAAGAAGTCGGTATACACTCTTGACTGTGTAGCACCCCTTCTCCTCATAATTCCAAATGAGTCAAACAAGTTAGAATTTGAGACTCAAACGATTGATGTGTTTAATTATATATTGGGTTTGATTTTTCATTTTTTGTCAGTATTGCTCCGTTTTTAGAAAATTTGTTCTTTTAGCTTGTCAATATCTCGGCATCGCAAGCAAGCATAAGACTCAAAATCATCATTCCCAGTTTGAGGGTCACATGAAAACTCTCTTGAGGAGTTCAAGCATGCATATGACTCAAAATCATCATTCCCAGTTTGAGGGTCACAGAAAAACTCTGGTGAGGAGTTTATCCACTTTAAGCTTAGCTATTCTTTTAACAAATTGATTAAGCAAACTAGCAAATTCTGATGGTATAACTACGCTATAACAAATGGAAGGCAGCAATTTAGGGTCAAATGTCCACGGAAAGGGGGATAAAATAAAGAAAATGGGCGGCAGGTTTCTTATGTGAAGCAAACGCTACCAATTACCAAAAGAAAGAGCCCCAACAATTAGGCAGAGAAAAACAAATTTCTTAAATAAGAAAAATGTGAGATACATTAAATGTTGTTCATGTACAAAGTATATGCAGAAACAGAACTGGAGCTAAATCCTTGCTTTTTCTACCACTGCAGAAATGAGATAAAGTTTAGTTGCAGATAGACCCTTTGCACTGTGGCTATCACCCGATTGCAGATAGACCCCATGTAGTTCTAATTGTTGCAGATAGACCCCCTTAACGTAGAGCTGTTTTATTTTTTATTTTTTTGTTAACCTCAAAGGAGCTCACGCAAAAGCAGAATCATACACTGAACCCAAAAATATACTTAGCTCCATCAAATCACGCTACTTTTCTTGCCCCTTCTTTTTTCTATACAGAATGATAATAGAAGTTCAGTGTTTTTTCCAATACATTTTTCAGTACAACAAGCCAAGCTCTTGACAGCAATTACTTGCGCTAGGCGAACACAAGACAAAACCAGGAGATGCTTGAAAATTCACCAAATTAATCCCCATATCAGGAATCTTTCCAAGAGTGAGATTCAAGGGATCACTATCGCCGACGTCTTCCAGCATTTTATCTTTGCGTCCCTCAAAATCAGACTTGTGTTCCGTTGGACTCGAACCAGCAGACCTATTATAGCCCGTCAGGCTCTGAACTACGCTCATAAAATCTTGCGGCCGAGCATGGATGATCTTCGGCGGCCGGAGGTGGATGATCACCGGCTTCTTGATCTGATATGAGCCTTCGGCCACTCTGAGGGGTCTTTTAGGTGAAGGCATGATCATACTGTCAATTGTCACGTATGCTAACTGGCGTGCTATTGGTAGTTTATATATAGTACAGTTTGCGTTGAAAAGTCTAAAAGTCTTGGATTGAGTAAAAGTCAAACTGGAAGCAAAATGTCAATGAAAGATTAATGAAGGATTCAAGGGTTAGCTTGAAAGTGATGAGTGTCGTTAACAAACGGGCAGTTTCGGCGGCTGTAGAATAATGAATGAGTAAGAGATAGATTTCTCTTTTAAGGATCAATTTGGGGTTTGAATCTTCATCGGTGCTGGGAAAATAGTCAAAAGTCCAAACGTTGAGTTTTCTGAATATATTTGAAATTTAAGAAGGTCGAAAGTAATGTTTTCAAAGAAGAAGGCGTAAGAGGAGCTCAATTGTCAACGCATGCCTATGCTGGAATAGTAATAATAATTTGCCCTTGAACATCCAATATAAATTATGTAATATTATTGTAATGTTAATAAATTTAATTGTTGCACATAATTTGGGTATTATTTATATAATTGTTATATATATCCTTAGAAGTTATTTTGTTAGATCATGCATTGTGATGATCACTTGCTTGGAGATATGATCTAACTTAGAAATTTCTTAAATTTGTGCTTAACCTATAACTAGTAAAGGATAACTTTGTTATAACAGGTTATTATGCATGACACCGATATATGAGATATGGTGGTGGGTCTCAACCATCGAGAATGGAGATTCTCCGGGTGTATGTCATAAGCACGCATTATGATGTGTGTAGCACTAGACCGTATTTGAATTCTCTAGGATGAGTCACCTAAGAGATAGAGAATTCAAATTGTTACATGGTCCATTTGACTTGATGATATTGTCATTTTCGATTTGATAATTTAGTATGTTTTGATGTGATGGTTAAGCTTGTTTAGCAAGCGCTACACAACCTGAAACATTGTGTTGTTAAATTTCATTTAGGAAAATGATGGATGTCTAGATAGGATCCAGTATACTCATTATGATGAGTTAATTTATTATGCATTCCCATGAAGCTATTAAATTCCTGCCGGCAGGTGGTTTTGAAAATATTTTTTTAAAATTTATTTTCTTATAAAAATAAAATATTTTGATGTTTCAAAAGAGTTTTTATTTATGTTCATGGGAATTGCAAATTTAGGCATGAGCAAATAGGTGAGTTGTCCTGCTTAAAAGAGTTACCTAAAATAAATGATACTGGAAGGGATTGAATGTAAGATATTATTTATTAATAATTAATCTCATATTATGGAAGAGCTTTTATGAACAATTGGTCGGATAGGGATTTGATTGTTAAATTAAAATTATTAATTTGATTAATAATTGGTTCTCGATATGGGACCCAATTGGTCTCACTAATGTCATTAGAAGAGGTATACATGCAATACAATTCTATTTCTATCCTTAATTGTTATGGATAAAGTTTTTGAATAAATCTATTTCTATCCTTAATTGTTATGGATAAAGTTTTTGAACAAATCTATTCTATCCTTAATTGTTATGGATAGAGTTCTAGATAATTATGAATTGTTTAAAGTTAAAATCTCTAAGACTAGTGTAATCCTATAAATAGGGTTCATATGTAGCCTTATTGAGAAGAGATAGATGAGATTGAAAACCTTATGAAGATAATATGAAGAAATAGATTTTTGAGAACCTATCTCTCAGTATTGCTCCTCTACGGTGACGGGTGGATTTCAATTGGAGGCTTTTTCTCTTGAGGAAGCTATTTCGGATTGATCTCGAGACAGATTATTGTAGAAATTCGGAAAGCGTTTCAGGTATTTTTCTAATATTTAATTAATTCTGATTAATAGTCATGATATGTTTTTTCCGCTGTGTTGTATGTCATGATTCCAACAGATGGTATCAGAGCGGGTTTAGAATCCAATCTGTAATAATTTAATAAGATTAAATTATTTTTTAAATTCGGGGTACTGTTCATCGGCGAATGTTACTGTTCATGGCTGACATTGTTCACCGGCTATTGTACTGTTTATCGCCGGCTGATCACGAAGGCGC